CCACCTATCCCCTCCTCCCACCTCAAGCCACACCTCCATCTCCTACCTACTAACCTCATCCCGCCCCCTTGACCTGTCCGTCCTCCCTGGACTGACCTATCCCCTCCCTAACTCCCCACCTACACTCACCTTTACTGGCTCCATCCCGCCTCTTCGACCTGTCTGTTTCCTCTCCACCTATCCTCTCCTCTATCCATCTTCTATCCGCCTCCCCCTCTCTCCCTATTTATTTCAGAACACCCTTCCCCTCCCCCATTTCTGACGAAGGGTCTAGGCCCGAAACGTCAGCCTTTCTGCTCGGCCTGCTGTGTTCATCCAGCTCTGCACCTTGTTGTCTCTGTCATTTAAATGTATCAATTTTAACTACCTTCTGCATTCTCATTCCAAACAAAGTTAACCCTTGCAGCTTTTTACTTCAAAAGCCTAATCATTTGCAGGCTTTACCGTCAGAATGGAATGGTTCTATTTCAGATTCTATAAATCTTGTATCAGTTAACATGATAAGCTAACAAAATACTTAGTCTGTCAGAAAATGTTGAAGCTTATGCAGAATCTACCCAGGTACAGGCTATTTTAGATCTAGTATTATGTAATAGGTAGAATCGGGAAGAGATCTCAGTTAAGGATCCTCTCAGGGATAGCAATCACAACATAGTAGATTTTTGAATCCAGTTTGAGGGACAGCATCTCAGGGCTCAAACCGGTGTACTCAACTTAAATAAGTGCAATAACAAAAGGTGTGAAAAGAGAATTATCTGAAGGGTCTGGGCAAATACACAAAGGGGGATGTCAGTGGATGAGCAGTGGTGGACATTTAAGTAGATATTTTGTTTACGGTTTGCAGGTGATACAGAGAAATGATAGAAATAATTCTAGCTTCTAGCTGGATTCTAGCTTCAAAAGGATTAAGGTATGATGATGGACTACAAAAATTCAGCTTTTCAGCTGCATAAGTTTAACAGAAAAAGTACCTTCCTGGAAATAACCAAACATTAAAAGATTCCGCCAGATCACTGCTTTCCAAATGTCCAATAGATTTAGAGAACAAGGAACATAGGGTAAAACCTCTGAAAGAAAAGTTTCATCAGAAATGTAGGGCTGAATCTTATATTAACTTTGGCCAAGTGTCAGTTGCTGTGTTTTTTGGAGCTTTTCGCCATGAGGATTGTGAGGGGTTGGCAAATGTTGGATGCCAATGTCCATGACGAAGGGCTGCATGCAGCTGTTGCATTTGAATCATTCTCCGAGATGCTGTTTGGAGCTAAACAACATGGAGGCTCTTTGCAGCCAGTAGTGAGCTGAAATTGCTAAATACCTGGTCTGACTTCATGTCAGGGATTCTCAAAATCCAATGTGTTCGACACGTTTTGTAAGAAAGAAAGCAAAGTATTTGGAGGTGAGTTGTGGAGTTCATAAGGTGCTTAACAAGCTAAAAACCCCTCTTCATTGCCGCTAACTAGTGAGACACTCACTGTGCTGCTCTGCAAGTGCACAAAAAGTGCAACAAGTTGGATCTTTTGCATAATTTTACCACAAATCTTGCCCACATTACTTAGTCCCCTATAAGACTATGCCCAAAGATCTTTCTTTCAAACAATAACAGTCTTGGGGGTAAGCCAATGCAGTACAAGCAAAAACATCAGGTTCCATTTCTGATAAAGGGTCTAGGCCCGAAACGTCAGCCTTCCTGCTCCTATGCTGCTGCTTGGCCTGCTGTGTTTATCCAGCTCTACACCTTGTTAGCTCAGATTCTCCAGCATCTGCAGTTCCTACTATCTCTGGTTCATTCAGAAACATCTTTATTGCAGATGCAATGCTTATATAGACATATTGTTACAAACACAATGCATTCTTATATTAACCAGATACAAATCTGAACATAGAAGATGATAACATTAAAGAGAAGAGCTACAAATCTACCTTTTCATTTTGTAGCTTTGTCCAATCCTTGCCACCCTCTGTACAATAAATGACCGTCAGTACCTTGGATCTACATATTGCCTTTCACCTAAGAAAGGATGCTTTAAATGGGGGAGGGGGGGGTAGTCAAATCATAAATTAACAGCGAGTTCTTTGTTATTAAAAATTTGTTTATAAATGAATAATGTGATCAATGACTGTAAAGACATGCACATAATATAAATGCGATCAATGCAAAGTTTCTACTCTGAACGTTTTTCTCATGAAGCTGTCCAGCCTTTACAGGTCCTCATTACAAAGTTCAAGACTATATTTGATATTTCTTTCTTGACATTTATATTTTTTTTTCCAATTTCCGAGATTTTCACTGAATGGCGTTTGATGGTTGCTTCTTTAAACTGTCAAATGTCAGATGTCAGGCTTTCCATACAAATTATGTTTAAAAGAATACTGGTAGCAACAAACAATGAAAACTGTGTTTGCAGTCTGCTGAGCATGGACAGCTCAAACAGAATTATGCTCCATTTCTCATAAATCATTACATTCCAGCAAATAAATTCAAATACCTCTATAAAGTTCAAAAAAGGTTGTAACAATTTCCATTGTATTATCAAATATCATAATTTAATAAAGTGGTAAACAGAAGTCACAGATTCTGGACGCACTATAATTAGTCAAAAAGAGATGAAATTACCATACCTGATTTCTACTGAAATGATTTCTAAGTAGTTTGCAGTGTCCATGTACTGACATGCAGATTATAGTTATTATACCTCAGGTTAAACGTATGAATGCAACGGTGCACATGCAGGTTTTAATTTAAAAAGGGACAAATTAGAGTGGGAGTGATTCTTGCTTACACTACTGAAAGACCATAACATATAGCATGCTACGAACTTATCAAGCCTTCTTCAAAGATGAGAAAGATAAGAGTTTAACAGTTTTGTGCTACTTTACCTTCGCATTCATGGTGATGCGTATCTAGAGTATCGGATCTGAAAGTGTTTCTGTTGAATGATGATTATGCCTAACAAACCAAAGTACTTGTACGTACTGCTATCATGCAATAAATTTAATTACAATTTGTTGCTGTGACAACTGCCTCTTGTTGTTAAGATTCACTGGCAGTTTATCCTCTATGGAGCACACCCTTAGACAGTTTGGCAAGGAAGAGACGGTAGCAGTGTTCCTTCCTCTGGGTCAGGAGGCCTGTATTCAATTCCCACCTGCTCCAGAGGGGTGTCATAACAGGTTTGAACAGGTTGATGAACAGTATCTGCAGATGATAGGATCTCAGCTCTGGCAGTAGCACAAGAGGAGACAAACGCCTGTATTGAGGCGTTAGCTCTTAGACTTTCATATGAACAGGGAGTGGGGAAAAAGGATGTCAGTGAAAGAATGAGTGCATGGATAACAATGATGAGTCAAGTAAAGGAAAAAGGAATCAATAGGATGTCATGAAAATGATCTAAATAAAGGAGACAAGTGATTAGCAATCAGGTGGGGTGGGAGGGAAAGAAAGAATGATGGAAATGAACAAAGAAGAGAAGAACACAAAAGCTGCGATCAGTCCTCACAGAAAGAAAGGTTTAAATAAAGAGAAAAGTTTTTAGTAGTACTTTAGGATGGAGGGGACAGAAGAATATTAGAATATTAGCAATGGCTCAGAAGAATGCTATTGGGCACTGGAATGACAGTACCAATTAAATGGTTTGAATTTAAGGGAGAAGTCTGTCAGTATTAACCGTAAAGATTGGAGAGCAAAGTATGTCTTTGTGATAGGGCGGGAAACTAAATGGGGCCAAATAAGGTAATGCCGAGGATGATTGTGAAGTTTGTATGTGAGAGTATAAAGGAAGAAGTGGAACTAGAAGATAATTTAGGATTAGTGCTAGCCTGAATGACAAAATTTAAGTCTTCTTTTAACAAAAGCAATTAAAATACTTTCAGTTGTTAAGTATATAAGTGCTCAAAACTAACTAGATCTGTTTATTACAAAAAAGCTCAAGTTTTAGTTAAGGGGTGTGCTCCTATACCTCACCTAAAAAAGCCATCAAATTTTGATGTCAATAATTGGATTCTCCCTTCAGGTCCTTACCTATTTAATCCCCCCCTTGAAGAGAAAAAAAATGCTGTGTAAACTCTAAGAAAAAAGCCTTGGTACCTAACCGTTTTAGACTGCTTGAATGGTGAGCCTTTAATGATGTTGCTAGCTTTCACAGTGATTATTAAGCTAGTCAACACATGGAATAAAAACTGAAAACTTGCCTAGTCTATGTAGCCTAGCAACTTACCACACAGTCCATTGTGGTACAAAACCAATGAGGATTCTTGAAGCTTTATTTCCATTTTTATTGAGACGTTTCTTTCCAAGTTGTTTTCCTCCCTTTTCAGGAACTCTGACCTATTCACAGTGATGCATCATATATTCAATATTTGTACCAAGGAATCATAATAAAGTTCAATCCAAACAGGAAACAACATCACTACGCCACCAGTCTTTGGCAGATATCCAAAAACAAATCATGCAGATTGGCCATGATTTCCGACTTAACAGTCAACTTCCACAGGATATGACTTTCAGGATAGCATTTAAAACAATGAAAGTAAAATGGGTAATTAGTCAAAATGTAAGAGTACCTAGAATTATATTTTAAAAACAGTACAGATTATTCAGCCCAGCCAATCCATGTCAGAACATATATTCCATTTGAACTTTTTCCCAATCATCAAATTCTGTTATCATAAACCTCTATTCCTTTCTTCATCATGTTTTCTAACACTTCCCAATAAAGCCAGTGCTGTTCATATATCCTTACAGTGCAGAAAGAGGCCATTTGGCCCATTGATTCTGCACTGACCCTCCAAAGAGCATCCCATCCAGACCCAAATAAAATAAAATGAGGAACTGTGGATGCTGGGGATCAGAAACAAACACAAACCAGAGAGGTTACTGGAGAAATTCAGCTGGTCTGTCAGCATCTGTGAAGAGGAAACAGCAATAATGTTTTGAGTCCAGTGACCCTTCCTTCAGAGCTGACAGCTATTTATGCTGTTGAAAGGGGGTGGGGAAAGAGTAATCAGACAGATGAACAGGAAGCCCCAAGGGAAAGAGAGAGAAAAGAAGTACACAGACAAAGGTAGTAGGAACTGCAGATGCTGGAGAATCCGAGACAACAAGGTGCAGGGCTGGATGAACACAGCAGGCCAAACAGCATCATTACACAGACAAAGGGTTGTTGATAGCAAGCCTGAGAAGAAGAGATGCTAGATAGGTGATAATGGGGTCCATGATTAGTTGTAAAGGGGTTAGCTATACTAAAAGCAACTCATTTCAACTTTTTAAATAAAAACCTGAGCTTCCAGTTGCCTGCCCTTCAAACACATCACTGTGTTCCCATGCCAACATTTCTGTCTCAGGCCTGCTACAGTGTTCCAACAAGACTCGACACACGCTGGAAGAACAACACCTCATCTTCCGCTTAGGGGCATTACAGCCTTCAGGACTCAAAACTGAATTTAACAATTTTACAGCATAATCACCTCCTTCCACACCTATGACTTACTCTCAGGCCCCAGGTCCTGTAAGAAAATGGGTACTTTCAGGATAGCCAACCCATTTTAACTTCTCATAGCTCCCATTATCACTAACCTAGCTTCTCTTCTTCCTTGATTTACTGTCAACCCTATGTCTGCCCACAGTTATCTCTCTCTCTTTCTGTACTGCCTCTCCATCTATCCGCTCACTCCGTTCCCTCCCCACCCCCACTTCCCATCATCATCACCACCTTTTCCTAGCTGCTATCAGTTCTCAAAACATTAATTTTGTATTTTCTTCACAGAAGCTGCCAGACAAGCTTAGTTTTCCAGCCATTTTTGTTTTTTTCATCTAATTATAATCCATTGGACAAAAGTGAATGTGGTGAGTTTGATCCAAAATTGACTCAGTGACAGGAAACAACATGTAATAATGATTGACAGAAGCTTCTGCAAATGGAAAACAGTTTCTAGCAGTGATCCATGGGTCTCAGTTTTGGGTCCCTTGCTGCTTGTGGAATACATTAAATGATTTAGACTTAAGTGTCAGAGACATAATTGGGAAATTTGCAGAAGACACAAAAATTGGCTGGTGGTTGATAGTAAGGAGAATGGTTGCTGACTGCAGGATGATATTAATGGTTTGGGCAGAAGAGTGGCAAATGGAATTCAACCCAGAGAAGTGCAAGTCTATGTATTTGGGGAAGGCTAATAATGCAAGGGAATACACATTAAATGGGACAGCATTAAGATGAACTGAGGAAGTGAGAGACCTTGGAAGCATATGTCTACAGGTCACGAAGGTGGCAAGACAGGTATATAAGGTGGTAAAGGACAATATGGGATACTTTCCTTCATGGACGAGGTATTGAAAATAAAAGCAGGAAAATAATACTGTATCTATAGTAAGACATTGGTTAG